AGTGAATAATCTCACTGGAACATACTTTGTGTCAATGAACATTTCTAAGATTGAGTTCACTCCATACATGAGAACTTGTGGCTGTTTGCAGAAAGAATTTAGAAACGAGGAATTCTGAAATACACTTAAAAGATGAAAAGCATTTTTTCATATATTGGCTTATGAATTTTTCGTATAACACTAGTTGAAGTTGTTTAAATTCCTTTTACTGAAGTAATCTTTAAGTCCAAACCAAGGCTGCTGTTAAGATAAAGTTGCACTTTATTTAAGCAGGCTTATTTGACAGGCCAAATTTCTCTGACAGAATTAAACAACAGAGAAGATGCTTTCCATGTTCTTCGCAGCCTTTGTGTTTGTGGGTTTTTTAGCAAGTTGAAGACAAGATTTCCGCTAGAGTGTTACAGCAATATCCTTTTATATACCAAGAGATTTTTGTTTGGTTATCTCATTTTGTATCTAGTGTAGATTTATTAGTTAGAGTACAGTTATGATTCTCATTTTCAGACGGCAAAAGAAACTTAGTCCTCTCAGTCACTTATCCTGGACTGGGCCAATATGTTACTGCTCTGAATTGTTGCAAGCTTTGCTTCATTAAGGATTTAACATGGCCTTAATTCAGCCATCTGTTATGGGTTTGGCAGACCAACAGATCTGAGGTATTGGTCAGAGCTTTAGAAATTTCCCACATTTTTAAGGTTAGGAAAGAGCTACCTTTATGAATAGATTTTGAATAATTCTCAGGAAGACAATGGTGCAGAAGTGGGGTAAAAAATGCATGTCATTCTCTGACGCACAGGGTCCCCTGTCTGCCTTTAGCTTTGCTGAAAGGCAATTAGCATTTCAACCAGCCAATTTGGTTACATGCAATGAAGTACTTGGGTTTGTAATTTGCTGCTCTCGGCTTGGTGCTGTTGAGAACTAGCTCTGTAATCCTCTCAAAGCACCTTTCTTTCCAGCATAGTTATTGTTGCTGGTCTTAAATAACTAATCAACAAAGAGATTTCCTTGTCTTGAACTACAGGGTGCCTTAGAAGAACGAAAAGAAATACCCAGTTAATAAGGGAATGATTATAATTATTAAATAGTGGTTATTAAATTGCGGCATAGGTTAAAAGGTTTAGAAAGCCAAGGAAAGCACAGTACATGGTAAAGGTAGTGTGAGTAGTCTTTGAACCCAAACAAATTTTGCTTGTGGAGTTCTCGTCACCACATAAACACTTTATAATGTGTTTTATTTAAAAACGGATTGGCCAGATTTGAGAGATTAATTCACAGTATAGATTAGAGTGAGGGCCCCATGCTAATCATCTTCTCAAAAATGATACAAACATATTTTTACTTCTACACAAAGAAGTCTTTGGGAGGACTTTGTAAGCTGCACATCTGTAATAAAACCAACATTGTTTGCCGCAATCTAATAAAAAATGAATATGTTTAACTGATGAATCTTGTTTTGATATACATCTTAAATTTAGTTAATGCAAATTTTCATGTTTAACAATACACTTTTGTAAACTCAAGAGTAGCTCACTGATACAATTATTCTAATAATTAGGCAACACATTAAAATTCTGTTTGGCTCACACACTTACTAACTTGTAAGAATCCACTGTGGATAGCAATAATTATTCTGTCAATATACTTGAAATAATGCCATCTGATCACCACCATGAGTCTGTAATTTACTGTCTATATCTTACAGATTATTTTTCTTGCAAGATTACTATCTGTGAAGCACTATTGCAAAACAGGTTGTTATGTTTTTAGTCTTAAGTATGAGAAAAATAAGCACTATCATGCAGAAGCCCATAATTACTTTTTCCTGATATATGCTATTGATTCAGGCCATAGTACTTCATTCAGGACAAGTACTAAGTATTTGAAGCTGTGGTAATTTTGTCCCCAGCTCACATGTTCTAAAAATACATGAAGTAAAGAAGTTGAGAAACCTCCAAAGGAAGTAAGAAACCTCCAAAGTAGAGATACAAACGGAAATAATTGTGAGACTTCAGATCTTTACTGAAGTAGAATAAATGGGTGTTCCTCACTGAAGCCCGCAGACCTTCCTCAGCTGGATTTCTGGTTCTGTGTGGGTAAGAGACTGATCCTATGGCAGGCTCAGTCGTGTAATTACTTCTACAATAACCATGAGCTGGGAGTGCCAAGCATCTTCATGGCTGGGTTGTTTGGTTTGGGTTTGGTTTTTTGTTTTTTGTTTTTTTAATCTACTTGCTTTTTGTGCAAGAAACCTTTTGAAAGAGAGTATGAGTGCTTATAGTGTCTCAAGCCCTACTTGGAGCAAAATGTCTAGGTAAAAAGCTAGACCTTGGTTCTGGAAAACACAGTAAAATAATTTCTATTAGTGAAAGCTGTCTGCTGTTTTCATTAGAACCATATAGATGGAAAAGGATTTTCAGTGTGGAGCTGAAACTTGATTTACCTTTTGCTTAAACCTATACTACATGCTAAGTGGAACTATTGCAAAATAATATCTTGAGTTTTTTACAGAATATAATTAGAGCTATGAGTAGATTCTCATCAATTGCATGAGATAAATTAGAACTTCTGCAGCTGAAATGTTGTCTTGTTGGTACAAATTAGGGCAAGTTCAGATTCCAACTGGTGTATTTCTTAACATTGTTAATTAGGAGATTTCAGCCAAAGTTTGTTTACATTAGACTCTGATCTCTGTTCTAAATATAAAGTAACCTTAATAGCTCCAAGTCGTTTCACTGGAGGTACGCTGGGTAAAAATAATCTGGATTTTACAGCTAGGCAAAATTATTGTCTGGCTCCCTATTTGGCCAGCAAATTATAAGGCAACTGCAGATGTTTGTAGAAGAGGCTCATGTCCCCTCTGCTTGCTGCTGGCAAACAGAAATAGTGGGTTTAGCACTGCTTGAGAGTTTTGCCCTTTATTCCCTGCTGAGAATGAGAACAGGCAGAGCAGGCGGTTACCTCAGAAAGCCTTTAGCATTACCTGGCTTAAGGGATAAAACCTGGTCCTCCAGTGATGATTACATGCTTTAGAACTTACAATTTAAGGATATAGTTTAGATCCAGTCAAATGCTGGGGAAGTGAAAAGAAGCTGCCAGAGAACTTGCAAAGGGGTACTCTGGGCTTATTACACTTTTCACGTCTCGGTGGCCTCTAATAACAGGGTGAGATGATCTGGATTTCTCGTCAGGCCTCTGTCTTGGCCTCGGCTTGCAGAATTAACACTTTCTGTATTGGTTCCTGGCTGTGATCAGTGATTAACCTTTCCGACTAGTAAATATAAATACAATGACAGGCATTTCTTCTTTAGGATAAGATGTCTGTGTTGAAGGGTGCGTGCCTTTTTCAAGGGAACATGATTGAATGAGCAAGAATTTTCCTATGGAGATGTAGTTCAGGTTACATTAAATTGGTCATTCCCAGTGATACGTACAGTCATAGCTAGTAAGATTTCTTAAAATATTACAACTGTTAGAAGGCATATGGCCAGGAGAATGGTTGACTGATGTCAGTGTCATTAATCTCCAATGCAGATACACCTTCTTGGCACCTGAGTTGTGCTGTTCTGTCGGAGCAGCAGTGGTGAGTAGGTAAGCAAACAGCGGAGCCCCAAAACTTCAGGACAATGAAAGCTGATCGAAGGATTTTCAGCAGCTAGTAGTCCCACTTATGCTTTGGCTAGCACATTCCAATGTTAGTAGTAAGAGGGGGGATGGTGGGCAGATACTTGGGATGTCTGTATGGTAAAGAGGAAGACAGGAAACCCTAGAGCAGAACTGGAAGCAAAGGCATCCAGTGACAGTGAATAACGTGCATGGAAATTGGTGAGACGGGCTCTTGCCCCAAATGCTGCAACTGGTAATGCAGTCTGGGGGTGCAGACAAAGCAGTACCTGTTGTGACTTCTTGTAATTCTTATGCTTTACCTACCTTGAAGCAGGTTGAAGGCAAAAAAGGGATATAGGAAGATAGTATTTTGAAATAGTACCTGTGGAACACTCTCTTTTGCAGTCTCTATTAGAGTGAGAGACTGACTTATCCCACATCTACACAAAAAAGCCCGAACCAAAAAAGAAACAACAGCGATCAGCGCAGGCTTGGGTAATACCCACTATCCAAAGGCGAGGCTTTGCAGCCACAGCTGTTGTTCCCCCCTTTGTATATTGGGAACTTTGAGGCAAAGAGAACCCCAGCCTGAAATGAAATGTTTCTCTCTTAATTTGGGACCATGACAACATAAAAAGAAGCAATTTAGTAAATTAACGTTTTTTTATAATTCCTGACGCTTTCCTAGGTTGTTCTCCAATACCTGGTGTAAACTTCAGTGGTTCTGAGAATGCCTAAAATAAAAAGGCTGAAAATACACAGGTTTTTAATACGTTTCTACAACAGGTGCAGCAAGGGAAATGACCTTGTGAAACTTCTTGCTCCGTGCTGTTCCTGTATACTACAGAGAATCTCCTCTTTACATATGAAAGAGGACATGGATCTCTCCCCCATTGTATTCAGCCAAAGATGCTGCCGGGTGCTGGCATCTCTGCCGTGAATAGACTTCTCTCCGGCAACCATTGGTAGCTGTAGTGCTGCACTCAGTGCAAAGTACCGGGCGTGCCAGTTCTCCCGGTGTTCTGCCTGGCTGGGTGTGCGTGGTCAGGGGAGCAGACAAGGGCAGGCAGTGAAAAGTGTGCTGGGCCTGGCGCTCGCGCTGCTGCGCCGTGTCCGCGGGCCGTAGAAGCCCGCAGCGAGTCGTGTGAGGATGAGCGGTGCTGGGTGGGAGAGGTGCTGCGTCGCCATACCTGCTTGTGTCTTCTACTGGAGCGGCGGCACGCCTGAGGCAGAGGCTGCTTCATCCCTTGATCCACCTGCTGCTTCTGTAGTGAAATCCCCTTTTCCTTTGCCGTTCTCAATTCCATATCTGCCATTTTACGCTCGTTTCATTTCATATTGATACTGACAACACTAACTAACACTTAGTTTGAAGCTTTAGAAGGTGGGCATTCCTTATGGCAGCGCTGGGGATCGCTCCACCACGAGTGCTCCGGCGGGTTAGTAAAGCACATCATATACAGAAAAATCACACGTATCCATCAGATCCCCTGAGAAGGACAGTCTTACAGTGATGAGTCCCCGGAATTCATTTACATAGTGTGAGCACGCACAGTAAAATTAGGGTTAGGGTCTTTTCACCCTCAGATGGTCGTCCATAGCCTTCCTCACGCAGTCCGCTAGTTGAACTTGGGGCTTCCTTTGTCCATATCTAGTCATCGAATTAGCTCCTCGGTCTTTCGGCCTTAGGATGGTGCAAGGGGGTCAGTTTAAACAAGTTCTTTGGTGCTTATCGTGGCCCAAATGTCCTGAGTTCCTGTTATCAGGAAGCCTAACGAACTTGCTCAAGGTCAGTTTAATCTTGTCAGGCAAGAAGTTACGTGTTTAAGGTCTTAACTAGTGATTGTCAGGTATTTAACCCTTCGAATATTTGGAATCTTTCACAGGCCTTTAATTTCCCTTCTTGATCTCTCCATGTGCCACTGGTCCATGGGTTCCCTCACCCTTCAGTGAAAACAGCCAGGACGCCTTTTCATTCTTAAAGGTTTTGATTCATTAAGCACAGAAACCAGTGTAAAAATCTGCAGAAAAGACCACTCATTGTTTATCAACTTTAAAATCTTTATCTCAAATTTGTTCCAGAAACTGAGCAGAAAAAGTAAGCTAATCCTGGTGATCGTCGGTTATGGGAGATGCCAGTTTCGTAAGTCTACCTCTGCTTGGCTCCAGCTGGGCAATAGGTTGAAACGGTATTCCTCGCGTAATTTCTGACGTTACTGTGGAAAGTACTGCCCGGAATCAGCGTATGCTCTGCTGGGCTCTGCACTAGGATTCTGCATTTTCAGGGAAAACACAAACGGACTTTAGAAAGTGCTATAAAATGCAGAGCAAAAGATAATGTTAATTAGGGATCGTGACTCAGAATTCTGAGTTATAGTTCCCTATTTTTTTTAATTATATGGTTGAAGAATGTGACACTTAGACTTTTAAGATTCTTTAATACCATTAAAATGTCTAGGTAATTTTTTGAGAGGTCCTTTCTTTTGTTTTTAATACCAGAAACTTTTACTATAAACACCTCACAGACATCATCTAGGCCTCAGTATGTAGCATTGCTTTAAACTACCACTGAATCTACAAATCATTATTTGAAATGTCTTTAGTCAGCACATAGTAACAGAATAGTTGGTCCATTGACTTGCACATACTCTGAAGATGTATAATATCCCACTGCTTGTTGTTTCAAAAAATTTTAAATTACTTTGGCTCATAAACCTATTTTAAAGCCTGACTGAATATCCTGGATTAACAGAACTGAACTCAGTAATATTTAGCTGAAGCAGAGAGGAGTACTTGATTCATAATCATTGAATAATAATATAATAATATAATAATTTTGACAAATTCATAATCTGTCAAAAATTAACAGTGAGCAAGGACTGGAGTTTCAGCTTCATTTGGAGGGGAAAAAAACCCCCAAAAAACCCCAGTGATATACTGGGGTGAGGAAGAGTTATGTTTTAATCCCTGATCTTGCAAAGGCTTCTACTGAACTTTATGCAATGTAGTTAATAAGAAACAAATTCCGTTCCCATATAAATTTATGTAGAAATTTAGTGTACAAAGTGAGTTAATATTTAACAAAGTAAAATATTGTGACCTATGATACCTTTTCGGCTATTTAAATAATTTTGTTCTGCATTCTCTAAGTCTTGATTTATATTGGTTTTACTATATTACATCAATTTAAAAAAATAATAATGATTTTCAAAGTTGAATTTATATAAGCAGAGTAAAAACTACTTTTGGCAGGCTATGCAAAGTAAATCTTAGTACAAATAATGTAACAAGGAAGAATACACACCAGCTAAATAATTGATGGTATGATTGTGAAACCTCTCTTGTTCCACAGGAGTAATCCTATAGTTTTAGAATGCTCTCTACTAGAAGTAATAGAATTCAAGTAATTCTAAACTTTGTAATCTTGCCCTCAAGGATCATGTTTTCAGTATTACTTACTAGAAGCATGTACCGTGGGAAGATATTTGTGAAGTCTATGACAAGGTAACAGCTGAAGCTAAAAGGTCAACAAATTCTTCAGTTTAGTATGGGTGATGCCTGCATCTGCAGACAGTGTAATTGTCTCAGAGTTTACAAAGGTTAGACAACTGTTCTCTTTCGAGCTTGAAGGTTTGTATTTTGCAGTGCAGTTCCACATAAAAAACAACAAAAAAAAATCTTGCAAGTGAATACAAGTCAACTTTTGAAATGCTAAGAATTTTAAATCCCAGGGGATTTTTTTATACATATATATATAAAATAACTTTGTTTCCTACTGTAATCTTTTTCTGCACTGGGTTTACTAGATAGATAGAAATGTAGGAATAAAGCATTGTTCCTGAAAGTCCTGAATTCTTCATAAGAGCCATGGATATCTCGAAGGACTGTGTTCATGGTAATAAAAGTTTAGTAGCAGTGTGAAGTTCTGCAGCAAAATTATTTTAGTGTGACATTTTTGCTGGCAATAATGGAACACTGTTCAAATAGGTTGTAAAATGGATAGGTGTTTTCATAGGGATAGTGGTTGGTCCTGATTTTCTGCACTTAACTTTCATTGCTCACCTATTCCCTCTGTAATGTGAGATTTTAGTACAAGTAATTAAAATTGGCTAATTTTGTCATCCCACCAGTCTTTGCTTGTAGGAATTCTGAGACACTGATAGTTTACTTGACTGTTCTTACAACTTATAGTTATTTAGTATGTCATGTCTGTGGACAATTTTTGATCTTTAACTTGCCTCAAAGCAGTCTATTTTAAGTCCTCACAACGTAAAATTAGCCCTTGCCCAAACAGAATTTATTGTAAGATAAATCAAAATGTTGATGTCTTTCTGAAGCTGTGTTAATTTTAGTGTTTGGAAGGCTGTCTTATTCTCTGTTCAGTGCTAGATTAAAGCTACCTGACTGCGTACATAAAACACTCAGAATCTGCGCTGGACCTCAAGTGTATTCTGATTACAAATTTGGCACACACTTTACAAAAATAGGTTTCAATATGCACATGACATTTTATGTTTCAGTGATCATTTATGCCTAAATATTAATTTACTGTCACTCATAAATCATGAAAACAAGTGCTTTGCAAACATGTCTGAGCTTAAATATTATTGATATGCAAATATTAATGTAATATGTTCTGCACAGTTTATCCAACTGTGATTGACTGGATTTGTCTGATAAACATAGAACTTGGAAGTATAATTTTAAACAAGGTGACATTTTATTTAGACATGTAATTACACAATATTGTTTTTATATTTTGTAGAGAAAATTTTAAAAGTAACATCACAAAATAGTGACTACAGATTAAAATAAGCTCGCTGAAAGAACTAACTCCATTGGAGATCCATGCTGTAATACTTTTTTGTGTTTAGAGCACAACTGTGTTCTCTTGATTTGTTCAAAAGTTGCTCAGATCCTTATGACAGAAATCTACTCCATCCAGCATCCAAGTTCTCTGTTCTAGTCAGCACTGTATGGTATAAGACCCTGCATAACATAGCAGCTGTTTCCAGTTTGTTGTGCCAGAGCCTCTTAAAAATGCATCTTCCACAGTACCAACACCTGATAACTTCACTGGAACTTAACCATGTATTTTACATTACATAACTGTGCTCTGCTGTAAAAGAAATAAACCACCTTACTTTTAAGTTGTCTTATCCCAACAGAAAAGAAAACTAGACATTGCCCAGAGACAAATAAAAATAAAGGTCTGGCTGTGTAAAGCTAATAGTGGCATTGAGATGTGCCACAGTGATTCTCCATGACAAGAAAACATGACAGAATCACAGGATAAGAGAAGCACTGAAAAGAGTCTGAAGTAAATATGCAAATGTTTACGAACACTTCATGGTCCATAAGATGGTCTATGAGATGACTGCAAATATCCAACCCTTAACCTTCCCTGCCACTTCAGTTTATTTCTAAAGAGAATCCAGAGAGTAAAAAAAGTGGAAATATAACTCTCAGCCTTTAAGCTATTTTTTTTTGTTGGTTGGAAATGAAAACATTTGTGGCAATGTGCTTGGTTTTTTCTTAAAAGAAGTTCCTTACTCCTCCACTTGAATAAAGTTGGTAAATACTGTCTAGAAAATTACTAGATGAAAATTATGACAGTAGCATTAGATGTAGATGATAATTACATTATCTGACTTGATTATAGCTGGGACCTGTGCATGTTTTCGTCTTCTTTCTGAAGCTTACAAGGTGATCACAGTATTTGAAGGGTTGAGAAAGGGTGGCTGGATTGGTAAGGTCACCCAGGAATGTTTTAGGTATTTTATATCCACAATTTATTTTTAAATATTCTTTTTTTTTTTTTTTCTATAGGGATGCCCTGTGCTTCTTTCCTAGTTCATTTGCTTTTAGCATTGCTCATTCATTTCACATCTGGAGAAACAGAAGTGAAGTTCAGTGGACAAACAGAATTTATAGTTAATGAAACAAGTACAACTGTTATACGTCTTGTAATTGAGAGGACAGGGAAGCCTGCTAACATCACAGCAATTGTGTCGGTAAGAAACTATGCCTATTATAGTCTCAGTAAATAGTAGTATTTTTCTGAAGTTTTGAATGTTGCCTGTTTCTAGCAAAAAGGAGGGTGGTATTTCACTGGGACAACACTTCGCCTTAAAGAAGCAA